CGCCTTTCCTGGAGCTCACTTGGTAGCCCAGGCTGGCCTCGAACTCACAGAGATCCACCTGGCTCTGCCTCCCGAGTGCTGAGATTAAAGGCGTGCGCCACCACCGCCCGGCTAATTTTTTTATAATATTGTGATTATTATTATTATAATTGTGCATGGATGATGTGCGTGTATGTGTGTGTGTGTGTGTGTGTGTGTGTGTGTGTGTGAGAAAGAGAGAGAGAGAGAGAGAGAGAGAGAGAGAGAGAGAGAGAGAGAGAGAGAGAGAATGTTCTTGTCTGTATGGTCACACATGTGCCATGGTACATATGTGGAGATGAAAGGATGATTTTAGGACTCAGTTCTGTCCTTCCCTTGTGGATCCCAACAGCAAACTTTTTACCAGGGGTGAGGCTTTTAACTGGCTGAGCCCTATCACTATAAAGTTCCTAGAAAATTATTAGAGATGTAGATAAACATTTATTGATACATACTATACCATTACTACATTACAGAATAATTTAAAACAAGCAATATGTTCAATAATGGACAACTGTTGTCTTAGGTTTCTATTGTTGTGATAAAGATTATGACCAAAAGCAGCTCAGGGAGGAAAGAGTTTATTTCATCTTATATTGTCAGGTAACAGTCCATCACTGAGGGAAGCCAAGGCAGGAACCTGGAAGCAGGAGCTGATGCAGAGGCCATGGAAGAGTGCTACTTACTGGCTTGCTCCCCATGGCTTGTTCAGCCTGCTTCCTTACAGTACCTGGGATCACCAGCCCAGGGGTGGCACTGTCCCCAAGTGAGCTGGGCCTTCCCATAGCAATTGTTCATCAAGAAAATACTCCACAGACTTTCCTCCAGGTGATCTGATGAAGGCATTTTCTCACCTGAGGTACCTCTTCCCAGATAAATCTACTTTGGGTCAAGCTGGCAAAAAAACTAGCCAGGACAACTGTTCATATAACTTTTGGTATGCCTATAAATTTGAAACACATAAGGCCATTGAAAATATTATTTTCTAACATGGGAGATTAAATTTATTTTATTTTTGTAGGTAAAACTTTATCCAGTAGCATTTCTTAGTAAATAAAAATTTAAAATCTCTACCATTACATTCAACTTATGCCTTTCCCTTTCCCCTCTGCCTGGAAAGGCTGATATGTCACACAGGAGAAATTATCTTTAGGTACTGGGGCTGTACTCAATTACAAGACGAGATCTCATTATGTTGCCTGTGCTGGTTTGGAACTCCTGAACACAAATAATCTTCTTAGTTGAGTACCAGAGTCTATTGGCACATGCTATGATGTTCAATGTTTTCTAAAGTTTTGCACAAGGTATGGATTTATTTTTAATTTTGAAATGTATTGACAATTGGCTGTCATGAATTTCTATGAGAGAAGATTACACATGCTATTTAAAAACTCTTTGATCCACCCGACTTTATTCAGACTGACTGTAACCTTTCCTACCAAATAATAAAACCAAGTGATCTAGGATGATTTCCTGATGGAAAAATTAAATTAAGCAGAAATGCCCATTCCAGAAAGACGATTCCAGAATACCTATCCTAAGGATAAGTGAATGTAGTGAGGAACAAGTCTAATAATATAATAATAGCCATTATGCTTCTTTACCTTACAAATATTGGTAACAGTCTCCCTTAAAAATGTGCCAGAAGTCTTATCATTAAGAATCAGCAGAATTTATTTATCAAACAATTTATTGGTTCATTTTCACTAAGACAAACATATCATCTATTACACAAGCGTGTGTGTGTGTGTGTGTGTGTGTGTGTGTGTGTGTCTTCCTCTGTGTGTGTCTGTGTGTCTTGGGTCTTTGTGTGATTTATAAGGGAGTTACATGTCCAGCCCCCATTTCTCTAAGGTATAGATAAGGCCTACCATATTCTCTGCTAATGCCACTACACAGTTTTCTGGGAATAATTAATTGCTTTCAATAGTTTATAGATTAAATAAAAATATTTTGTTCTTTCTGTTCCTCTTTTCCCCATTGGTTTAAGAGCTCAAACAATGTAGAACTCCAAAAGGAGAGAAATTTTTATAATGATAATGTAAAAGAAACTATATACATTTTTCCAAAATCATAATTATGATTTTGACTTATAGTTATAAAAATTTTCCTTGTCATGTGATCTGGGAAGTAAAATTAACAGTATCATGATATTGATAATGAGGATGGTGGCTAGTTTATGCTAATTTACTGTACTTGGCAATTTGGTATTTTTTGTTTTGTTTTTTGTTTTTCTGGACAGGGTTTCCCTGTGTAGTTTTGGTGCCTGTCCTGGATCTCACTGTGTAGACCAGGCTGGCCTTGAACTCACTCTGTCTTCTCAGCGCTGGGATTAAAGGCGTGCGCCACCACCGCCTGGTGGCAATTTGTACGAAGTCTTTTTTGTTTGTTTGGTTTTGGTTTTGAATAGTCTCACCCTGTAGCATAGTCTAGCTTCTAATTCTTGGCAGTCACGTCACACCTTCCAAGTGCAGAGATTACAGGTCTGAGACACCAAGGCCATAAAGTTCTTTCCAAGTATTTTCAGATGATTTTTTTTCTCTTCAATTTTCTCCTTTCTTCTTGAGTTGTTGATTAATTTTTCTCTGCAATTTCTTCCTTCATTCTAGTGTTGTCGGTTATATCTCCTGCAAATTCCCTCTAAAGGATTGTTTCCTATTTTAACAAAACCCCAGACAAAAAGAAAACCTACCCTTTCCGGTTTAGGGAAACTTGAAACTTCTCTCCAGCCCTCCTTCAAATCGCGCAGCATTTCAGAACGCACTGAATTCCTGCAACCAACTAAGGTCAAAAAAAAAAAATCACTCACTTCATTACAGGCGTCTTAAAATACACAAGGTTTTGATAACATGGGTTTTCAAAAAATTAAACCAGTGTCTGGATTCAACACAAAGCTGGCTTTCAGCTATGTTATTTGCATATATTTCTGAGCAGGAAGTACCACGCAAAACTTCTGGTGTCCACGGGAAAGCGTGCTTTATTCTAACCGAGTGCAATTCAGGGATCCCATCCTCCCCGCCCCTTATTTTACTTCTCCCTCGCCCCCTTCCAGGAGAGGGAATAGTCAAAAAGAATTGTTTCAACAGATCTCGCGGTGCTGTTCGAGATCCTGTGTTTTAAAAAAACAATTTAGAAATGATGCAAATGAGCCCGAGCCTTCCGGGGTTTGGGGCTGGGACTGCAGTGCTGGCAGCTCATTGAAAGCAGCCACTGGTGGAGGCGGGGCTCCGGCCAGTTTCCCTTCCACCTTCCCCCACCCTCCTCTTCCAACCTCTGTTTGGCCCCTTGCTGTGTTCCAGTCGTTGCTGCAGCTGTTTCTCAGCCCTTTTCCAGACTCCAGCGACCGACCACAAGCTCTTGTTTCCAGGATGGTGATCCGTGTATACATTGCATCTTCTTCTGGCTCTACGGCGGTAAGGAGACTGGGAGCCCACCTTTGTTGTTTTCCAACACACTAGTCCTCCTCTGTCCCAGAACCGTTAAATTGTACAAGTTACACTGGAAGCTTCTCCTTAGAAGATGCAAGCATCGCCCACTACACCCCCCTTCTTCCCTTTCTTCCTTTGTTGCGTCGATTTCATTTTTATTCGTGGAGTTAGCTTTGTTTGCCTTGAGACATTAGTTCCGTATTTCCTTTAGGTAGATGAGAAGAGAGAACTGGTTTATGGATTTCAAGGTTAGGTGAAGTCAAGTAAAATAAAAAACAGTGGCTTTCAGGCTTCCAAGAGTGAGGCATTTAACAAATATGCTGTAAGTGCCGAGTTCAGGCAAGTACTGCATTTCTGTAAAGGATGGGGGTACTGATGGGAAGGGAGTGGAAGACTCCTGAGGTACTGAGATTATTGTGAAGCCACTGTAATGGAGTTATTTTGAGAGCGTGTAGGCAGGGCATACAACATTAAAAGAAAATAGGAGAAAGTCAGAACAATGACACAAATGGTTTTTGTTTCTTCTTCTTCTTCTTCTTCTTCTTCTTCTTCTTCTTCTTCTTCTTCTTCTTCTTCTTCTTCTTCTTCT